TTTTAAAACTACTTTCCAAGTTAGCACACACCAATTGAGTTAAGAGTCCTATCCATTTCTCCACTTTGTTGTGTCAGGAAATCCTGTGCGGAGGTGGCAATAAGGATCCTACGGTCTTTTTTGCAACAAATCTCTTGGGCCTGCCTCAGTCCACCATGCAGATGCTGGTTGCAATAAACCAACCAGGGTTCCCTTTGTTGCTGTAATCTCCCAGGCCTTGGGTGCAATTTAATATCCAAGTTCTCTTTACAACAACATCCACCAACTCACAGCTGCCCCTAACAACCCAGCCAAGAGCAGAAGAGGGTCAGTTACAGGGGCAGGTGGGCATAAGCCTGCATCCCTTGGGATTTAGGTCTGACTTAGTGCTGTGTAGTTTTTAATGTGCAACCGAATCACCTGGGAATCCTCTTAAAAAGCAATTCTAAGTCAGTAAGTTTGGGGTGCCTGCATTTCTAACAAGCCTCAAGGTGCCTCCGCTGCTTTACACGACCCTTTGAGTGGTCTGATCTGAGCACACAGGTCACAGGCCCCCCCGACTGCCAGTGCAGCTTGGAACCAATTCACAAATGTCTCAGTGAAATGATGCCGTTGCTGCTGGTGCTGGCTTCTGCATTTGTGTGGGAGGGAGGTCAGGACAGAAGTCAGGGGACTTGAGGCCCCAGCGCAGAGCAGACTTGTGAGTGCAGATCTGGCTGTGGGGTTCTGAAGGAGCAAGGTCGGGGAAGAGGGGGGTGGACTTATTCTGTCCATATCAGGAAGGAAGATTGGCTCAGCAGAAGGAGGGCTGGGGCTGAGGCTACTAGGGAAGGGGAAGTGTGAGCTACTGGCAACAACCTGGGTTTGTATTCCAGGGGACCTAGGTTTGAATCTTGCTTTCGGCAAGTGACTTGAACTTCTAAACAACATTTTCTTCCACTGCTGTAAAAATGTAAATACAAATAGCTGTGTTATGGGGTGGTAAGGGAGATCATCAGTATCAAAACCTCATAGATGCACCCGGCTGGTGTGGCTCAGTGGTTCAACGGTGACCTATGAACCAGGGAGTCACGGTGTGATTCCTGGTCAGGGCACTGCCCAGGTTGTAGGCTCGATCCCAGTAGGGGGTGTGCAGGAGGCAGCTGATCAGTGATTCTCATCATTGATGTTTCTATCTCTCTCTCCCTCCCTCTCCTTTCCTCTCTAAAATCAATAAAAATATATTAAAACAAAAACAAAAAAACTCACTAATTTATTAGTTTCCAAGGAAATGTCAGTTTCTTCCCTTTAAACTCCCAAGAGAGAGAGTAGAGGGGTTTGTCCCCAGCCCTCAGGGCTGTGTGACCTACTCCCATCACCACTTCTTGGCGCCCCAGTACCCCCACTAGGAGAGGAAGATGGGCAGTTTAGACCAGTGGTTTTTCAAAACAATATCTCTATTGCCCCTTCTCCCGAGTGCCACCCAAAATAAAAGTGCAGCCATGCTGTTATGCATTTTAGGAGGAATCAGAGTGGTTAAGAATCAGAGATATCAGGGTCTGAGTGCCTGCTCCACCATCGACACACTGTGTCATTTTAGGAAAGTTACCTAATTGACCTGAGTCATAGTTTGAATGTCTGTAAAATGGAGTGTCTCAGTTTCCATGTCTATAAAATGGGTTGTATTGAGGAATGAATTAATATATTTAAAGTGCTTCCAACAGAGCCTGGGAACATAGTAAGTGTTTAATAAAATTGGTTTTCACTGCCCTCGTTGGTATGGCTCAGTTCATTGGAGTATCATCTCGCATACCAGAAGATAGAGAGAGAGAGAGAGAGAGAGAGAGAGAGAGAGAGAGAGAGATCACTTGGTTGATTGGTTGCCTCCTGCAGGGGCCCCTACCTGGGGCTGGGGAACCTGCAACTGAGGTATGTACCCTTGACCAGCCCCTTGACCGGGAATCAAACCCACGACCCTTCGGTCCTCGGCTGAGCCTCTAATCACTGAGCCAAAACAGCCAGGGCGCCTTCTTTTATTCTTGTCTGGGGTTGGGAGAGCCTGTTTCCCACTATCGTGAAGCGGGGGAGGGGCTATAGCTGTTCCTTAAACAGCTTTTAACCAGCCCTCATTTTTGTTCCCTTCCCCTCTCATGTCTCATTCCCTTCCAGAGGCCCTCCGGAGCCCTGGGAGGCTCTTCAGGAGATCATATTGATTTTCACACTCCCCACGGCCAACTTGGGTCTCCGCTCTCTTGGATGTGCCAAGCCAGTTACCACTGGGCCATTTGCTCTCCACCTTCCAAAATGTAACGGTGCTTTCCTCTTTCCATCATCCCATCTTTATGGGTTTGAATCTTTTCAAAATGGTCTTTCATGCCTTTTCACAAAAAATTTCTTTATTGAAGTTTTAGCAGGATTTCAGGAGGGAATCCAATTAGGTAGGTTCAATTCACTATCTTTTACTGGAAGACTTTATTACTATTGCTACTTTTGGAATAGATAATACATGTACAGGTTACAAATTTCTAAACGTATGAAAGAGTGCACATAAGAAATATATAAATCCCTTTCCCACCCATGCCCTGAAGTTTTTCTTTCTTTCTTTCTTTCTTTCTTTCTTTCTTTCTTTCTTTCTTTCTTTCTTTCTTTCTCACTCTAATCCTCACCCAAGGATATTTTTCCATTGATTTTTAGAGAGAGTGGAAGAGAGAGGGAAAGATAGAAATATCTATGTGAGAGAACACATGGATTGGTTGCCTCCTGCATGAGCCCTGACCAGGCCCTGGGCCCTGGAGGAACCTGCAACAGAGGTACATGCCCTTGACTGGAATCGAATCTGAAACCCTTTGGTCCACAGGCTGACGTTCTATCCACTGAGCCAAACCAGCTAGTGCACCCTGAAGTTTCTATTATCAGTTTCTTGTATAAAAATAGCCATTTGAGGGCCGGGTATATACCTAATAAGATGAATCATCAATCTTTAAGAGGACCAGCTTTGAAAATATCTGTCAAAGACAGGTCCCTGGCCTTGTGGGGCTTCTTGTCTCTGCAGGGCAGCAGATGTGTTAACAAGGAACAAGGACAGTCACATCCCTTTAAAAGTTTCTTATTCTCTTAGGGTTCTAAGTCGTTTCACTGTGTGTTAATAGCAGGTGTTTCTCACAGAAGTAGGACAGGGCTCCTTAATGCTCTATCCATTTTTCAAAGGAGAAAAGTGAGACTCAGAGAAGAGAGGTGACCGCCCAAAGTCACCAGAAAATAGGTTGGGGGACCGAGATTCGGAAAGCAGGTATCAGAAGGCAGCCTTGTGCAAAGCTCACCAAGATTGGAAGGTCAAGTTTCCCAGAGTGGTTCTGCTTTGCAATTAATTTCTTAAAAAAATGGACTCTGGGCCCCACCCCACCCTTACTGAATAAGCATCTCTTAAGCACCAATTCAGAAATTTTCCTTTTTAAGAAGCATTCCCAGTGATCTCAGGGGCATTAAAGTTTAAGACTTGAAATGCAGAAAAAATGCTCTGGAATCCAGAGCAGGGAGCAAACATATGTAAGGAGGCTTCATGGAGAAGGTGGCATATGAGTTTGTCTATATAGGCAGGGTGAGCTTTAGACACGTGGAGAAGGTACAGAAGAGGGGGCCATAGCAGGCTTTAGGGAAGATTCAAGCTTGGGCCTTTCACTATCCTTTCGTTTTTGTCATCATCATTGTCCCCCTCATGATCCTTTCCATCTTCCTCTTAAAAAAATATATTTCAGAGAGGAAGGGAGAGGGAGAGAGAGAAACATTAATGATGAAAGAGAATCAAATCATTGATCAGCTGCCTCCTGCACGCCCCTCACCAGGTACCAAGCCCGCATGTGCCCTGACCAGGAATGGAACCGTGACCTCTTGGTTCATAGGTCCACGCTTATCACTGTGCCTCCGGCCAGGTTCCATCTTCCTCTTTAGCCTCCTTCCCCAACTTCAACAGAAGCAGAATCTTCTCTCTGGGAGCAGGAAGGTGGCACCCACGCAGAGGTGGATTAGCGTGTGAAGGACACACAGAGGCAGAGTGGACAAGGGCACTCAGTCTCAGGCAGGCAGGGACAAAGATGGATAAACAGGAATAGGACACAAGGTCGCTCACAGATGGACAGGTAAGGACAGGTACAGAACCATGGGCATCTAAAGGGCACACACAAGGCCGGATGAACGCCAGGCACAGACAGAGCCCATCTGGAGGGCATGTGCAGAGGGGGAGGTGGGAGTCGTGGCAGACAGCGATGGCGCAGGGGATGCCCCAGATTTGTGGGGGGCTGAGATGCAGGGGCTCCTTTGGGCCGAGGGGAAGGGAGTAGCCTTAGACACCGGCTCTGACATCTTTCTGTCTCACGGGCTGCTGCAGAGGGAGCCAGTCCCCCAGGCTGCAAGGGCTAGGTTTGCTCCGGGATGTGCACCTTCGTCAAGAGGAGGGGGGCCACCTCCTCCCTCTTATGTCACATGTATTTCAGCTCTCAGATGTTTATTGTTAAGCTTGAAAGCTCGTCTCTTTCTAGCTCGCAGCCCAATTTCCTACAGGTCTCTCGGGCCCTGTCTCTTTTTGGGGTGTTTGATTCCAACTCCGGTTTCAGCCGACTGAGGAACTTCACTTTATTTCGGTAGCACTCTCTCTTTAAGCTATTCTCCTCCGGCCCCTAATCCGCCACCTTCCCAGACTCCCTCTCATTCCCGACATCACTTGCAGTTTCGACGAGCACTACAACTCCCATAAACCTTAGCGCTCAAGAGGCTACCCTAGGGAACTTCAAGAACCGAAAGGCTCTCCTGTCTGCCTCCGTGATTACCGCGGTGACCGACGGGGCTGGTAGTCACCCAGGAATTGTCGGGCGACATCTCCCCTCGAAAAAACCTACTCATCCCAGAAGACCTCGCGCCAGAGGCGGGTGGACCATCTGTCTTTCGGCGCAACCCTTAATCCTCCCTCGGACTCCAACTCCCGCCGGGCCTTGCACCGAGTTCCCTGCGGCGGAGAATGGGGCTATGTCCAAAGCTTTCTGGGAGTTGTAGTTCGTATGTTAGAGAGGGAAGGAGGGGGCGGAGTGACGCGGCGGCCATTAGCTGTGTGTAGTTGCCCGGGACTGGGAGCTTAAGTGAAGAGGGAAGTCTTATTCGGTGGAAATCCGCTGTGGCGATGGGCTACTGCCGGGGCTAGCCCTCGAGTACGGAGAAGGTGGACTTTACGGTTCCTCGCCCCGCCAAGTGGCGGGGCCCACTAGGCCCCCGGGCATCCCCGGTCTCAAGTAGGCCTAGTCTGCCGGCAAGGGCGCCCCCAAAAGCGGAGGCGCCATGTCGCTGGTTGCTTACGCCAGCAGCGATGAAAGTGAGCCGGATGAAGCGGAGCCGGAGGAGGAGGCGGCGGCACCCACATCTGGGCCGACTTTAGGGGGCTTGTTCGCTTCTCTCCCCGCACCCAAGGGTCCGGCCCTGCTGCCTCCGCCCCCTCAGATGCTAGCCCCCGCCTTTCCCCCTCCGCTGTTGCTGCCCCCACCCGGCGGGGCCCCCCGGCTCCA